AAGAACAGTAGCAAAGCCAGGCACTGGGGAGGCTGAGGCAGCAGGATCAAGAGTTTGAAAGCAGCCTGGGACACATAGTGAGTTCGAGGCCAGTGTAGCCATATAGAGAGACCCTGTTTTTAAAATAAAACCTAACAAAAACAATGGGGAAAGGGAGGGAGGTGATATTGGTGTTTTTCTTATACCATCTCATTTAATGCTCAAATCACCCTTTGAGGTTGATTTTACACTTTACAGAGAAGGAAACTGATATCAGCACTATTTTGGGGTTTTTTTTTTGGTGGGACTGTGGTTTGAACTCAGGGCTTCACGCTTGCAAAGCAGGCGCTCTACCACTTCAGCCACACCTCCAGTTCAGAGAAGGAAACTGAGGCTAAGAGCAGAGAATCATTTACTCAGAGTTACAATTAGCAGGAGGTAGGCGCCTGAATGTAAACCCAGGTCTGTGGGGCTGCCGGCCTTGTCTTGGCCTGTTCTGGGAGGGGGTGGGGGCTAGGGAATCAGCGATGGAGTCTGGCCCCACCAGAGCAGCTGGGAGCCATCGGCGCTGGTGGTGGCCACTCTTAGGCTGTAGGGAGGCAGGAAGGGTATCTGGAGGTGAGCCCAACCCTCCCAAATCCCCAGTCCCTTCTGCTCTCAGGCAGGTGGGAAGCTAGAAGGGACCTGCCAAGGGCTGCCAGCATCTGGGCCTGGGATTTAGGTTTTCAATCCATGAGCCACAAGGCAGCTTTATCTCTGCCAGAACATTGAGGGTAGAAGTCAATGATTGGGGAAGTGATTGAATTAGGGCGTCTTGGAGGTGGACTGCCAGTACCTGACCATATCAGTTAGACTGTCCAGCCTGGAGGAACAGCGGCTTGAGGGTGGGTCCAGTCAAGAGTCAAAAGGATGCCATTGGGTTATAGTACCCGACCTACCAAATTGATACCTGAACATTGGTGAGTTAGGGCCCCAACAGTTGTAATTAGCACCCCAGGTGTCAGTCAGAAACCAACAAACAGCCCAATCCCTGCAGCCCCGCCCAGCCCATCCAGCAGCGGGGGACTGATTAACCATTAACTCCCACCCCTCCCCTCAGAGCCTCCACCCCTTCGCAGAGGCTAGGCCCAGACGCCAGGCTGAGCCTCCAGAGGACAGTTTGAAAGGAAGAAAGGCAAAGAGGGGACCTGGGAGGAGGAAGGGGGTAGGGCAGGGGCGGGGGCTGGGGCTCAGCCCAGAAGCTTGGGGTGGGCATCCTGGGCAGGGCAGGTGGCCGAGGCGTGGGTAGGGGAGAATGCGCCTCTCCAAAACCCTCGTCGACATGGACATGGCTGACTACAGTGCTGCCCTGGACCCAGCCTACACCACCCTGGAATTTGAGAATGTGCAGGTGTTGACGATGGGCAATGGTAGGTGGGGGCAGGTGTGCCCAGGTGTGCCAGTTGGGGCAGGTGTGCCCAGATATGGGAGCGGATCTTTGGCACTTGACTTTGGGGTGGGAGGAGAATGACAGAAAATGGTAGTTGGTCCTGTAGGCTAGCACAAGTGTTGCCAGGGAAGTAAAAGGGCCCAGGTTCAGTGACTAGAGGCATTCTGGCTGAGGAAGGCCTACAGGAGCAAATTTCCAGCAAAAGTAGATACCAGGACCCCCCCCCCCCCGGCCCTTCCCCAGTCCCTGGGACCTCGCGGCTTTCCTGCTTAGCATGTCGCTGGCAACAGGGACATGATGGTGAGATCCCTCTTGGTATCCAGCTCCAGTAATTCAGTCAAACATGACCCCTTTTGAGCTCCCTGGGCTTAGGTGAGAGAGGTGGGAAGGTACGTCTGTCCCTAAAGATGGTTGCGGGAGGCATGACTGTATTTCAGAATGTCTTTGGGACTTTCCTAGGGGACTTGGAGTTAAGGGAAAATGAAATTCTCAGGGAAGGTTTGCTAACTAAGAGGCCAACCCAACTGCGTGTGTGTGTTGGGTGTGTTCATGGTCCTGGGTTTCCATTAAGCGTGTGTGTGCTGGGGTTATTGACAAACATGTACTTGTAGAAACACATCTGTATATTTGTGTTCATTTATGTGTTTGTGTTCTGGGTCCTTTCCATCTGTACTTGTTTGTTGAATGGGTCTTTTGTGCTCCAGAGGTGACTGTTGGTCTTGCTTATAATTGTAAGTGATGTGTGTACGTGTGTCTGTGGGTGTTTGTCACATGTGCTGTACATGTGGGTTATGGACTGAGTATGTTTGTAAATGTGGATATGTTTGCAAGCCCTGTGGTTTCTGCCCATGGGTCCCGCCTGGCATTCTGCGTGTGCCCCTGTCTATACCTGCTGCATATGCACACAGCGTCCGTGATGGGAGCAGCAGTCTCCCAGGGCACGTGATCACATACACCTCTTGTGCAGGGTTTTCATGTTACCTTTTGCCAAATGTGATTCACAACAGCATCACGTCCATTTGACACTCAGTAGATTTTGTTTCCTGTGGGTGTCGCTCTCCATGTTTATATATCTGCTCCAGCATTGCTCAGCACACGTCTGTAGGGAATGATGGTTCTCTCTGTGAGCAGGTGGGAGAGGAAGGAGGTCTGGACTCCAGGAAGCTTCTCAAGGGGAAGGGCTCTACTGGATTCCAGGCCAGCCTCAGAGGAGAGATAGCAACTAGCCGAGGCTGGCCTGTCACCAACTTTCATCCATGGCTCCAAACAGCCAGTCCAGCTGAAGTTCTGGCTGAGGCTGGGAAGCTGTGATCAGTGCAGCTGGGAAGAGGAGGTGGTAGCCAGCACTGTACATGGCCTGTCTCAGCAGCTGCTCACCCACTGTGTGACCTTGGGTGTGTCACCTCCTCTCTTGGCCTCTGTATTTTCTACAAAATGGGCTCCTTCATCCCAGGGCTGTTGGTCAGTCAGCTTTTAGGAAGGGTTCAAGGGGAAAATGGCTAACAAGTTACTGCTGCCCTGGGCGTATTGTGTGACCACAGAGGGACAATATGTGCTCCTGGCCACTGCACAGCCCCCTCAAAGCCCAGAAATCTTGTGCTTCTAAGCCAGAGGCCAAGGCCCTTGACTGGGTGTCCTGAAGACACATCATATCTAGAGAGATCCTTCCTGTCCAAACCTGGCAAGCCATTTTCCTCTCAGGGTTTCAGTTTCCTTATCTAAAAAATGAGAACATTAGTACCTGCCTCCTAGGCTGAACCAGAGGATAAATAAGGTAAGGTTCCTGAGTGCTTAGCCCTGGTGACTGGTCCCACAAGGGTCGTCTTCAGGACTCTGAGCTTCTGTAAGAAGGGTCTCCTTTCCCTGCTGGAGTTTACAGTGATCAGGAAGCTAAGGTTATGTGAAGTTGTTCTCCAAAGTGTTTTGGGTATACACTGAGCTGGTGGCTTGAAGGCTCCAAGGCTATCTCCCCACTCCCCCAGCCCCAATTCAGAAGCAGCAGCAGCAGCTGAGGGTCCTTGCTTCTTAGAGGCCCTGACAGATACCACAGCAAGGAAGAATGACTGCAGTATCCTGGCACACTGACCCCTGTCCTCAGCAGCAGAATGATGGCGCTGGCTGAGTCACTTATCCTTTTAGCCTCAGTGTCCTCACTTGGAGAATGGGGTGGCCCACTACCCCAGGGGTCACCCCATCTGCCTAGGAGCAGAGCTCCTTCCTATCTGCATGGCAGGGAGTTGTGGGGTCAGCTCTCCCTGGGGATCAGGGGAGGACAGGCTGAGGGAGAAAGGGCACCAGAGTAGCTTAACAATTATCCCTGTCTCCAGGAATAATTCACCAGGTGGAGGGGGCTGCACTCTTGGGCATACTCAGGAGTCCTAGGAGAGTTCAGCCAGGAGACTTGTGCACAGAGACTACAAGTCATCTGCTTCCAGACTTTTCTTCTGTAGAGAAGTGTTTAGCTCACAAACGCAAGTCTAGAGCTTACTGTAGGTCAAACACATCACACACACTGATTCCTCAGAACACTCCTAGGGGATTACGATGCTCCCCATTTGACAAGGAGGGAAACAAAGGCATGGAGAAGTAAACAGACAAAGCCAACACCACATGATCAAGTGGGAAGCTGGGATCTGGTTCCAGGCCACGGGGCTTCAGAGTCTGTGCTCTGAGCTCCAGCACTTCGGCCCTCTCCACTTCTCAGCTGGACATCCCCTTAGATATCTCAGAGTTTCTATGGAAACACGTGTGTGTGGACTTGTGAGGTATACAAGCATGTTTTTTGGGGGAGGTAGGTATCATAGTTTATCATCCCCAAAGGGCATCCTTAATGGAATATTTACTTCACCAAAAAAGGGGGTTCGGCTACTGAAACTTTTAAAAAATCTGAAAACAGACCAGTTGAACTGTTCCCTTTTGTAGCTGGAGAACTGAGGCCAGGGGGAAAAGAAACTAGAAAAATGACCTGGTCACAGATAGCTAGCATCACTCTAAGGGCTCATAACCTCTGGCTCCCAAGCCAAGATCCCTTTCACCGATACCCTTCCTCCTGTTTATGTTGGGAGGGGTAGCATTTGCCTCTAGGATGGGAGGTGTTCGAAAGGCACCCAGACCCTTGCCAGAACCCTCCCAGGAGGCAAAGGAGGAGTGAACAGTTTTGGTGCATGTCATTCCAGCTCCTGGGAGAGTCTTCAGAGTGTATCGGCACCAAGCTGAGACCTTCCCGGGCCTGGTCACTCAGTGAGGGAAAAGACAGGACCTGGTTCTGGAGAGAGGCAGCCCCAACCAGGAGTCTAGAAGCACAAAGTGCTTCTACAGGGTGGCTATGTTTTTCCTTTGAGAAAGCTGGGGTTGGTGTCTTCCTTCTAAGGTGAGAAGTGGGCCCTCACAGATCCTCTGGGAGGTCAGCTGCACACAGCCACAGGTTATAGCTGCAAAACCCTGGCTCCAAAAGACCAAGTCACTTGCTGAGGACACAGCAGGAAGAGGTGATGGACAGAAATAACCCAGGACCTGGCATGGACATGGCTCTGGAAAGGCTCATACTGATCTCTGCCCCTCCTGGGTCCTCACTCCTTTTCTTCTGGCACAGACACATCCCCGTCAGAAGGCACCAACCTCAACACACCCAACAGCCTGGGCGTCAGTGCCCTGTGTGCCATCTGTGGAGACCGGGCCACAGGCAAGCACTACGGGGCCTCAAGTTGTGACGGCTGCAAGGGCTTCTTCCGGAGGAGTGTGAGGAAGAACCACATGTATTCCTGCAGGTGAGGAGCTTGGCTTGCCCCAATTTCCTCATCTGGGAAATGGGCGCATTTGGACTCGTGTCCCCCAGAGGCCTGCAGAGGCATCTTTCCTTAAAAGCCTTCAAACTCTTCTGGCTCCTTAGGCCTTGTGGGTCCAGATGGGAAGAGCTATTCTAGCAACCCTATTTATTAACCATTAAGAGGGTGTGCTCTAGAACAAGTAAGGTATTAGCCCTAGGCCTTTCCACTTACACCAAGGATTTCCAAGGCTTTGGGGCATTTCCCAACTTGTATAACACCAATAGAATCATAGCAGCTGTCATGTATGAGCACTTGCCATGTGCACCTCCTGTGCCAGTGTATTATCTTAGAGTCACCTGTCACCCTCGGAGGTAGCCTTGATTCTCACATTTTAAAGATGGGGAATTCAGTTTGAAGCAGTGGTAGAGCCAGGCTTGACCCTCGTGAACCCCCAATAAGGGGCACATCCCCTAGTGAGGCTTGGATGGGCCGAATATTGACTTGGAGCCGTAACCAGGAGCCTGCTATGGGCTTTGGGCTCTCATGGGAAGTGGCAGAGAAAGCAGTGCTCAGGAGCTCAAGAGACCAGGGCTCTCAACTCAGCTCTACTGCCTGTGCCAGGGCCATATGTCGCACCTCTGAGTCTCAGCTTCCCATATTGGGCAGGAGAAGTTGGACTCTCAGAGAGTCCTTAAGACCGCTCTAGCTCCTTACTAGTTAGCTTGAGAAGTCCTGAGGTACAGAAGATGGAGCAAGGAGGCTGGGGTCAGCCTCCTTGTTCTAAGAGGGGAGGCCTTTTCTTCTCCATCCAACCATCCAACACCCTCCTCAGATTTAGCCGGCAGTGCGTGGTGGACAAAGACAAGAGGAACCAGTGTCGCTACTGCAGGCTCAAGAAGTGCTTCCGGGCCGGCATGAAGAAGGAAGGTGAGCCTAATCCCTCCCCCACCTGCACCCAGGCTCTGCGTTTATAACTGTGGCCTCAGTTTATGACTCAGGGACAGGCCCCAGGGTGACTGAGAGGAGGGAGGGCCTGGAAATCTGACCACAGGGAGCGGCTGGGCTTGGTCTTGAGAAAGATTCAGAGATAAGCTCCCACTCAGCTACTCAGGCTCCCTGCAACTGCCACCTGGCCTGCCTGTCCTACCACAAGGTGGCCGGAGTGGGTGCTCTTTCTTAGTGGAATACTTCCAACACGAGGAAAAGTGTAGAGCATGCCACCCAGACTGCACAAGTGTGAGCAGCAGGGGACCCTATTCCTGGGCTTCCTGTTCAGGGACAAGCACTCCAGTCCCCTTAGTCCTCATTCTTGAGCATCAGGTGATCCCAGACCTTTCCTCTTCCAGACAGTGGGAACAACTGTCCTGGATGGAGAACAGGAAGTCTCCCCAGGCTTCCTACCCCCAGCAGATATGGAGTGTTGGGCTGGTTCTGCCCACATTCAATAGCTCGTTTCCTTCTCACACTAGCTGCATATGGCCGGAACCACTACTCTCCCCACTTTCCATGGCCCAGGAAACTGAGGCCCACAGTGATTCGGCACCTTGCTGAAGGCCCCACATCTGGTCAGTGGAAGGGCTTAGGTTGGAACCCGAGTTTCCTGCTGTTTGGACACTACTAACTCAGTGCTGCTACTTTATGCACCTAGACCCCAAGGAACATTGAAGGATTGTTTCTGGTCCAAGCTGAGACAGCAAAAACTTTTCATTGTTTTTCCAAGTAATCTGAGTTCATTTTCAAGTTTCTTCCTTTCCTTCTCTCAGTTTGCCTTCCTTGCTCTTTCCTAAACCTTCACTTCTAGTCCATGGTCTAGTCCTGTGCGCACACACCCACACCCACACCCACATGGAGGGGGAGAGAGAGAGAGAGAGAGAGAGAGAGAGAGAGAGAGAGAGAGAGAGAGAGAGAAGCCAGAACCTAGGACCAGCCTGCACCAGGCTGACTGAGAAGGAGGGGAAACTTGGTTTGGATTCCTCCCTATCCCATCTCTGTCCTCAAATTCGTTTTCTTTGCCCCATCCCTTGAAATGTCTTCTGTGGTCATTCCTATAGGGCCTTAGTGGGAACTCTGGAGATCTCTTGGAAAACAAGGTCCTGACCACCCTGCTCTAAGCACCACAATTCTAACAGACCTCTGGTTCTCTGATAGAGGAGGAGCTTTTACAAATGTCAGTGCCCCCTCCCCCCTACCACTTTCCATGGAGATGAGGCTGTCTGGCCCACTCTCACCTCCAAGTTTTAAGTCCACTTTGCGGAACGAGAAAGTGTTATGAACGTGAGGTGGTACGTGTACGAGCATTGGTGGTAAGACCGAGAATTCTAGTCTCAGGGTCTAACATTGTACAGTTCTAAGATTCAGTGACACAATTTTCCCAAAAGCCTAAGATTTTAGGCACAATGACTGCCCAGAGGGCACTGTTTTGAGAAGAATCTCTCATACAGAAATATCAACAGGCGGGAGGGGTTGGCAGTCCACTGAGCAGGTGGCTACCTTCCTAGGCTGTATGTGGCCTAGTCTTGCTGTTGTCTGTCCTTACAGATGTCTCTTGTTAAACAGAAAGACCCATTTTCACCTGAGGGAGCCCCTCTGGGCTCCAGTTTTCCTACCTATAAGGTTGGATAATGATGCAAAGAGCCAGTGGCCCCAAACCCCAGCTCCTGGGAGGGCAGTGGGCTCCAGGCCATCAAGCCTTAGCTCAGCCTTGACCTTGAAAGTAGCTGCTTGCTTTTGGGGCCAGAAAATGGACATTCTTCCAGGAAGACGGGACATTTGGCAAAGACTGTGGGTTAGTAAACCTCTTGTTTGTTTGCATGCTATGTTAGCTGGAAGATATGACATGTGCTCGGTCATGTTGAGAATGAAGGGTGATGGCAAAGTGTTCTGTGGCCGATGTGGGTGAGCCCTGGGAAGTTAGGGTACTGCTGGTTCTACCTACATCTCCCAGGCCCCAACATCTGTCCTCCGCTGATGGGAAGCTCCCAAAACCAAATGCCTATCAATGGAGGTCTTGCAGACCAGGAGAGTGGAACAAGTTTTCCTTTCTTTCTCTTTCAACTCCATTCACTGGGGACTGAAACCCAAAAATCCTCAAGGAACAGAAAGTGTGAGCTGGAAATGCAGGGTTTATATATGTGCTTGACCTAGAAGAATTCATCCTCTACTTCTGGAAGAATTAATTCCCCACTCAGTGGGGAAACTGAGTCCAGAGAGTTAATGTGATGGGGACAGGTGGAGGCAAGTCTAGAACTCAGCCCCTCAGGATTTAGCAGACACTAAGCTTCCTGGGCTGAAAGTTGATGATCCATTTGGGAGGTATAGTCTTGTGTTGATTCCTGAAACGCCCCGTCACCCACAGGGAAGGGCTCCAAATCCCTTAGCTCTGTGAGTCTTGGTCAGAGGATGTCCCATGGTAGCTGGAAGGGGTTTCCATGGAGAGGCAAAGACTCTGGGGTGGGGAGAAACCTAGGGGTCAATGAGCCAGCAGGTGACAGGGAATTCTGCCCTAATGACCAAGGCCAGGGAGAAAGACACCTGCCTGACCTTGGCTCTCAAACTCAGGACAAAAGTCTGGCTCCTGGCATCAGAAACCCAGGACAGAAAGCAGGATCAGGGGATGTAGGAGGGGCGGGTTGGTGATGGACTCAATGGGGCTTTTCTCGGAAGTCTGGCTCAGCTCCCCAGGCCCCACCAGGGGTCCTCTAGGAAGACAGGCTCATCTCCTCTCTGCCCCTGCTCCGTCGGTTAATATTCAATGGAAGTTACATTAGGTCCCCGACCCTGCTAATACTGAGCAAACATTTGGAAAACATCATTCCGTGACTGAGCTCGCGCCGGCCGCTGATAAGGCCAGCTAACCTTGGGGAGCCAACCCTATCCGCAGCTGCTGACAGCGGCATTTCATTCAGCCTCCCTCCCCATGACACCCGGAGGTGCTGGTGGTTACAGGACAGGCCGGGCTGCTTAAGAGGGGTGCAGTGGGTGATAGGAGTAGAGGAGTGGGGAGAGGAGCTCCCCTACCTCAGGCTGTTTGTTATACTCCACCACCCTTAGGCTAGGTTGAGATTGACTTTGATTCTCAGATTCCAACAAGGTATGCAATCAAGAGGAAGCTGAAGCTAGGTACCAGTGGCTCATGCCTATAATCCTAGCTACTCAGGAGGTAGAAATCAGGAGGATCTTGGTTCAAAGCCAACCCAGGGAAATAGTTGGCAAGACTCTATCTCAAAAAAAAAAAAAAAAAACCTTCACAAAAAGGGCTGGCAGAGTGGCTCAAGGTACAGGCCGTGAGTTCAAACTCCAGTACCACAAAAAAAATTTTTTTTTTTTTTTTCCTTTTTTTTTTTTTCCGGTGCTGGGGACCGAACTCAGGGCCTTACACTTGCCAGGCAAGCGCTCTTCCACTGAGCTAAATCCCCAACCCCACAAAAAATTTTTTTAAAAGACCATTTCTTGCTCACTCAACAAATATTTACTGAGCACCTACTGTGCACCAGGCTGTGTTTTATGCCCCAGGTGAGAGCAGTGAACAAGAGGGATGAAATTCTGGCTTCCTGAAGCTTTCCATGGCACAGAGAAGAAATAAAGAAATTAAATAATTCTACAGTAAGTGCCTTGAAGAAAAGCAAAGTAGGGGAAGGGAGCAGAGCCTGCGGGAGTGTGTAGCAGACAGAGTATGTGTTTGAGAAGGACAAGAAGGAAGTGAAGAAGCAGCTGAGCCAAGGGAATTTCAGGCAGTGAGAACAACAGGGGCAAAGGCCCTGTAGAAACATGTGGCCTGTAAGTTGGCGGGAGCAGGTGGAGCAGGTGGGGCTGGAACAGAGTGAGCCAGGAGGTTAGGAAGGAACAAGGAGAAGAGAGGGAAGGGCATCCTAAGGTGCTGTGACATGGGAGGCATTGATTCTGAGAGGTGACAGGATTTGACCCAGGGGCTGAGAGGAGCACAGGCCCAGGGCCAAGGCCAGGAGCAGGGAGGCAGTAAAGAGGCCCTGGCCCAACCCCGAGGAGAGGCACGGGCCTGACCAGGGCAGGAGCAGTCTGCTCTGTGATGATGACTGACAGCAGGGGTGTGACAACCTGGGCTTGGGGCGTGAAGGACTGGGAGACTCCATTTGTAGGTTCCTGAGATGGGAAGGAGTTCAGGGAGTAGGCTGAGGGGAAAATGGTTTATATGGGAAAACTGAGGCCCCAGAGAAAACACTAATCCCTCATCACAGGACCATGGGTCTCAACAGCCTCATCCTTATTCTTGCCCCTTAACAGCAAAGCCTCTTTCCCCAGTGAGGCCTCTTGGACTCCAGGGGCTGGGCTTGGTACAGCAGGACTGTGTGATACCCCAGGCCTGGTCTGACTCAGATGCGGGGGTGGGGGGGTGGGGTGGGCGATGTGCTAGGGGCCAGGTAAGCAAAGGCCCCGGGTCCCTGGGTTCTGAGCAGGTAGAGCAGGGCAAGAGGGTAGCAACTTTGCCTTGCTGACTGGGAAGGTCAGTCTGGAGCACAGAGCTCCTGCCGGTGGACGGGCCTCCAGGGGAGCTGGGGTCTTCAGGTTCCCCATCCAGGACTTCCACCTGGTGCCCAGTACTCCCTGGTCAATCTCCAAGGCACCTGGACCAACAACTTTTGCTTGTTTTACACACATTCATTTGGAAAGAAAAGGACCTTCTTGCAAATAGATCTTGAGGATCTGGGATCTGAGCAGAGCCACTCCTCAGTTCTCTGGAGCCACCTTCAGCCCCCTGCTGAGTAGTTAGTGCCTTGTGCACCTCTGGGGTTGGGTAGGTCACTCCTACAGCCTCCCCATTGTGTGTGTGTGGAGGGGAGGGCGGGAGAGGTCTGGTGTCTGGAAAGTTCTCCTACAAGCTGAGTTAGAATCTGTCTCCCCTCATTTGCACACCTGGGCTGGACTGTCCTCTGGATCCCACCCCAGATGTGTTTCCTTGACTCTCAAAACACACCAGGTTGAACTCTCTCCTCAAGCATCTCCCCAGTTCCTCTTGGGTCATGGGACACCTTGCCCTTCCCTGCCCCCTGCTTACCTCTCTCTACCCTTCACAGCTGTGCAAAATGAACGAGACCGGATCAGCACTCGAAGGTCAAGCTACGAAGACAGCAGCCTGCCCTCCATCAATGCGCTCCTGCAGGCTGAGGTCCTATCCCAGCAGGTATCAGGGTGACCCATCTGCTTGCCTGGAGTTCCCAGCACTACAGAGGAGTCTCACTTCCTGTACTTCCATCCAGCGCCCCCCACCCACAGCTAGGCTCTGCAGCAGCTGACAGAAAGGGCCACAGATATCATAGCAGGGAAACTGAGTCTAATGTCATGTAGCCAGATTAGTAGCAAAGATAGAAGTGGAACCAGGTCTGGTGTCCTGAGACACTGCCTTGTCCATCCTGCTGTCCACATTCCAGCCAGAGAGAACAGAGGACTGTACCACTGGACCAAGGTGGCATACTGGGGCTCAGCTGACACCTTGCAGAGTTGCTGAGTAAGCTCCCCCGCTGTATGACCTTGGGCAAGTGACAGCACCATCTGGGCCATGATGGCTTCATCTATGAAATGAGGTTGGGGGTTTTTACCCTGTTTCTTCTCTAGGACCAAGGGATTCCTGGGGCTCTGTGGAGCAGGAGGAGGAGGAGGAGGCAGGGCAGGCAGTGAGCAAAGACCTCAAGGGAGCTCTCCTTCTCCTCCCTTCCACCCCTTTGGGGCAAATTTCCTGCAAAGCTGGAAGTGCACACACATTTAGAGGGGAATGTCTCCCCCACTGAACAGGGAGACATTCTAGGGGTGGGCCCTGGGCAAACAAAAGGAAGTGGCAGGTCCTGCCACCCCAAGCACTTCCTTGTCTCTCACAGATAACCTCCCCTGTCTCTGGGATCAATGGTGACATTCGGGCAAAGAAAATTGCCAACATTGCAGACGTGTGCGAGTCCATGAAGGAGCAGCTGCTGGTGCTGGTCGAGTGGGCCAAGTACATCCCGGCTTTCTGCGAGCTCCCCCTAGATGACCAGGTGAGGGCAGTCATTCACGGTGTGTAGTGGCTGACACTGGGCCACAGGGTCCTGCAGGTCCACCTGGGATATAGCCCTGGACTGGCTTAATTTTACAAAAGACACATAGCACTCATGTATGACCAGAGCTGTTTAAATCACTCAACAAATATTAAGTCATTTAGTCTGTCCAATGACTATTATTCTTCTCATCTTATAGGTGAGGACACTGAGCCCAGAGAGGTTAAACAACTTGCTCGCAATCACATAGCCAGAGAGGTGCCAAAGTCCAGCAGTAAACCTCTGTACCATACCGCTCTTCTAGGGGTTGCTGACAAGGATCTAGGGCCAGGGATCAGGAACTTGGGGCTGAAGTTCTGGTTGATCTTGGGCAAACTACTTCCTCTTTCTGAGGCTCAGTTTTCCCATCTGTCAAGTGGGAATCATTCACTTCAGAGTGTTGTTGGGAGGACCAAGGACATGTACTGTGTGACATAACTGAGCACACACTGCTAACTACAGTTGGCTTCCTGTGTCCACCAAGATGGTTTAACTCAGCATTTTATTTCACAAAGTAGGTTCTCTGGAATACTGAAAATGTTCCAGAGCTTCTCTGGAATACTGAAAGGGTTGGAGGAAGGGGGGCGTGTGTCTGAGGACAGATGACATGCATGTGACAGCCCCCGTCAAGAGTCCCCTTGGCCTCTGCAGACATCTTCCCTGCCTGAGCGAGGAGAGCTGTCCCAGGCCACCTCCCAGCTTTGGAGGAAGCACCTAGGAACCTTGTCTCTTAAATCTTCAGAGAAGTCTTGCAGACAGGCAGCTGTTTCTCTGGGTGGAAGCCAGGCCTTCCAACCCCTTTGGCATGGAATCACCCAAAATACCTTTAAGCTCACCTGGTGGGTGAAATGGGAAAACATGGGTCTGGCTGCTCCTCAGCCTCCCCTAGGGCTAGACCAGAGGCCATTGTCCCAGACAATTCCTCCCTCCCTTAAGAGAGTTGAAGGGACAGGGATCTTGTCCAAGGCACCCCTGACTTCTCTGGCTCCTCGTGCTCTGGCCCGGTCCCTCTTCTGGACAGTCTGAGTTAATGTTTAATCACTGTTCCTTCCCAGGGGCTTAGCAGGACAACAAGATACCCCCAAGCTGAGCAATTGTTAACCTCGATTTCCCACCCAAACCTCCTTGGCTGGGGCTCGGAGCATTCTCAGAGGGCAGTGATGGGTGGCCAATGACACAGGACAATCATTAACACCCCCTCCCCACCTACCTATCCCCCAGCACAGCTTCCATGTCTGGGGGTTGAATCTGGGAACCCATTCATGATGCCTAAGGACCCCATCCTGCCCAGCATGGGCAGGGCCTACCTGCAAGATTTAGAGGACACACACATCTGTTAATGTTGCCCCAGGAACCAGTTTCCAAGTTTGTGTTCTTCTTGGTTTGTTCTAGACATCGATCTTCTGAGACCTAGAAGGCTGAGTACCACTGGATAAGGAGGTTGAGGCCTAGAGAGAGAAAGCAGTTAGCCTAAAGCCACAGAGTGGGTTGGCCACAGAGCTAGGATTTGAATCCAGGTCCTCTGCCTTGCAGTTTGAGAGCCACTGGGCTGACTGAAGCGAGCCCTGCACGGTGCCTGGCGGATAGGAGGTGCTCAATAATGAGCATCCTATGCCTCCCTTCATGCTGGCCACGGAAAGTGGATTCTTACCTCCAAGGTTGCCCCTTTTACCTCTTTTTTTTTTCTCTTCCTCACAAGGTTCTAGTCATGGGGGGATGGAGAGAGTAAGGACAGGTGTTTGTTCAAGAGGGGCTGGATCTAGAAAGGAAGTTCAGATGCTGGCTCTCATAGTTATTCCTTTATCTGTTTCTTTATTCAGACAAAGACCTACTGAGTGATTACTATGTGCAAGGGACCTTCCGTGCCACATCACAATTTCACCTCCTTAGAGAGACCTCCCCTGATCTCCTATCTGTGCAGCCTCTCCTGCCCCATTATTCTTTTTCACCCAGCCCTCACCTCCATCCCTCCCCCCATTTGTCTCTTCCTTCCTCCTTTCTTCCTTTCCTCCCTCCCTCCCATCTCTGTACTATCACCCTCTGTTCTATTTCCCTTGTTTTCTACTTTTATTTATCATCCATTCCACCACCATCCCCGTAGTCTGTGAGTTCTATGAGGTTGCTGATTTTACCATGTGCCCTCAGTTGTCTAAGAGCATCTGCCACTTCAGAGGTGTGCCATATTTGCTAACTGAAAGAATGAATGAGTGCATAGTGGCACCTTACCCCCCTAGTTTGGCTTGCTACAGAACCTCCACCCTTTCATGCCCTACCAAGATGCAGACAAGATCCTAAGGGCTACCAGGTCCTAGGCTGTTTTTACCCAGTTCATCTTTGGTCCCCATACAAGTACTAAGGCAGTTGGCTCAAAAGCACAGGTGATATTCTCCTGAGAGCTGGCAGGGCCCAACCTCGAACTTCAGTCTTCACAGACTGCTGGTCTTCCCCACAGAGAAGAGGCCTGGCAGCAGATTCCCCACCACACCTCTGCCTTGAGGAGAGCCAGTTTTGAGAGCCTACACCCACATCCAACTTCTTGTAAAGTTCTCTTAGGATCCTAGAATTTCACAATGTCGAGTGGACAGATGTCCTGGAGGGCTTCTGGACTAGCGACTTCCCAACCTCAATGGATCATCTGAATCAGCCGAGAAACTTGCCCAGTGATGCAGATCCTTGGGTCCATCCCATATACACAGAATTACTGGTAGTGGGGCCTAAGGTCTGAGTTTCCCAAAGCATCTTTCAGAATTCTCTGAAGCTGGCTCACAGTTTTAGAACATCTGGGGTAATAGACGCTTGAGAATCTGATGAAAACCTTTGAGCCTCTGCTCAAAAGAGTACATACAGAACGTGGGCTACAGTCACCCCAGGCACCCAGATGAGGCCAAGGGGAACGGCTACCTGCCCAACCACACAGCAGTTCAAGGGCATAGTCAACAGGATCTGCCCATCTCTGAGGTCATGTTCTTTCTCCTTCTTGGATTCTGCAAACCCTTTCCAGGTCCCTAGTTTTATCAGTTACGAGTCGGAAGCAGTAGTTTCATGGTGCCTATCTTAGAGTTCAGGTAAGTAAAGGCAGAGAGGAACACTGAGCTGACTTGCCCAAGGTCACTGAGTTGACTTGGAGTAGATGCCAGACACCATCCCTTCTCTCTTCCAGGTGGCCCTGCTCAGAGCCCATGCTGGTGAGCACCTTCTGCTCGGAGCCACCAAGCGATCCATGGTGTTCAAGGACGTGCTGCTCCTAGGTGAGGAGGCTGCCTGGTCCGGCCTGGGCTCCGCAGAGGTGATGCCAACATCTTGCACACCAAAGCTAAAGATAATGTCCGTGGTGGAGACAGTGTGGTCGTGTCATAGCACTCACATTGGGAGGATTCCAGGACCCAGTTCTCAATGGGATACCCCATTCAGATGCAAGGAAATAGGGACTCAAGGAAAGAAATCCTCCAGCCTTCAAGTTGGAGCCCAGCCAGGGTGATACTTGGAATTGCCTGTGCAATCATATTTTCTGTCTGGTGTAGGGGCCAGAGGTGGCCAGAAATGGCACATGTCACCTGGACCTACGTGACTTTTTATTTTAAGTGCTTATATAGCACCCAATATATGCTAGGAGTTATGCTAACTATTTGACAAACATAACCTCTTGTACAACAACAACTCTGTGAGGGAAACTATTTATTTATTTATGTACTCTATCTATCTATCTATCTATCTATCTATTTTTGCAGTAGTGGGGATTGAACCTAGGGCCTTGCCCATGTTAAGCAAGTCCATGCCCTCCGCCCCAGGAATCTGTATTATTTATCCACATTTTATAGATAAGAAAACTGAGGCACAGAGAATTTGAATGTCTTATCCAAACATATCCAACTATAAGCAGCAGAACCATTCAACCAGGGTAGCCCAATTCCAGAACCTGGTTCCTTAATCTTGACTTCCAAGTAACCCTTGACTGTCCTCCATCTTGAGTCGTGTTGGTAAAGAGAGCTCGGGTTATATGAAAGGAATCCTAAAAAACGAAGTTCCGAGCTCAGCATGATGACTTCAGGCAATTTACCCTGTTAATCTTGGCTCAGATTTCTCATCTGTAAAATGGCATGGTGCTCTCTGCGGCTCTCCTCCCAGGCGCACCAGTTGCATTCCAACTGCAAGCCACAGCTAGAGGAGAGGGGTCAACTCAAGGTGATGGCCCCATCCTGTCCCCCTCCCACCTTTCCAGGCAATGACTACATCGTCCCTCGGCACTGTCCAGAGCTGGCGGAGATGAGCAGGGTATCCATTCGCATCCTCGATGAGCTCGTCCTACCCTTCCAGGAACTGCAGATTGATGACAACGAGTATGCTTGCCTCAAAGCCATCATATTCTTTGACCCAGGTACCACTCACACCTCCTAACCCATCCATGATGCCCCAGGCTGTCAGATTCCTCCTGCTGTGTTCATGACCCCTCATGTCATGAAAACCAGAAGAGGCCCCTGTTTCATCAGCCCTGCTCCGTATGTGATGCAAATTAGTGTTCAAAGGAACCATGGGACTTGTCAAAGCACTGACTCCAAAGGCCTGGGTTTCTCTTTCCCTCCCGTCTCTTCCTCTTCTCCTCCTTCCTTCTTGCTACTTCTTATCTTCCTTCTTTCATCTTTGCTTCTTTTCCTCAAAAAGTTTCATCAAGAGACTATCGAGGGGGGGAAGAGAGAATAATGGAGGGAGTAAATCTAACTAAGATATATATGTAAATATCACAATATATTCCCCTATACTGCTATTAAATGTTAATAATTTAAAAAAAATATTATCTACATGTACTGGAAAATGCATCGTACTTTTCCAGCTGAAGCCTACTCCCCAGGAAGAGCATTTCTGATCCTTTAAACTGTTTCTTGTGGCAGTCACCTTGGCAGCTCAAAGTAAACTGCCAAGCTTTCCATCTCTGGGTTGTTTGTTTGCATTACTGGGGAACAGAACCCAGGGCCAGCTGGTCTACCACTGAGCTACATTCACAGCCCTGTATTTCTTGACTTATACACTTAGATCCTATTTTAGCTCCTTTCCTGACTGAGGATTTTTCTCTTCTCCCTCACCATTCCCATCCTTTCTCCCTCATCCTCCACGTATATTTTTATTGCTGTTTTAATGTCTCTCCAATTCCTTTTCAGCTTCCAGTTCTGAGTGTGCATGCCTTCATCACGGTCCTATCCACTGAAGGCAGCATCTTCTTACCCTTCTCTTGACAGGACAGATACCGCATCCCTCCTTTCCTCTTTGGCTCTTTCCATCTGTTGACTTTTCACCTGCATCTTTACAGAATGTCTCTGTCTGTGGTCCTACCTTGTGCAAAGCCTGTTTTCACTACAGTGTCAAGATGCCTCAGCCCTGAGAGGCTGGCTTGCTTCCCTCCCCTTGTAGATGTTAGAGAGGACTTGCTTGTGCTGGGCACTGTCCTTGTCTATAAGGAGATTCCCCTCTAGTAATAACAGCAACCAAGAGGCAACTCAGCACCATTTATTGAAGTGTAGTTTTCCCCACTTCAGGTAGATTGTTATACTGACATGATGCCTGTGAAGTAGGATTTACCATTATCACCATTCTGCAAATAAGTAAACTGAGGCATAGAGAGGTCGACTAACTTGGCTAAGGTCACACCACCAAGAAATGAGAGAGCTTGGATTTGAACTTCAGACTATCTTCAATGTCTACTCACCTATCTCTCAAGCCTATGTTTTACCTTCTGTATGTGATTCCCATTTCCTGGGGGGGGGGGGTTAGACATCTAGTTCTGCTTTTATTCAGAGCCTGACCCAGGCTGTGTGTCCTGCAGTGCTCAGGATGAGACTGTGTGGGTGGCAAGTGCTCAGTGACACATGCGGGGTTAGTGGTGTGGAAGCAGTTGGCAGCTGATCAGAGGGCAGGGAACCTAGTCCAGGCTTGGTGTGGAGCAAGTGCTCAATGAAAGTTTGTTGACTGAATGAAATAATGCATGAACATTGGGGAGTAAAGGATGGCCACTGGAAATGTGGGTAAATTCTCTTTTCTTGGGAGTTTCTCTTTTTCTTCCTCTTTCTTCCTTTTTTTTTTTTAATAAAAGAGAAAACAAATGCCTTACTTTCATGAAGGTTGAGATTAAAGTATTGGATGAATTCTTGAGCTCCGTTCTAGGTTGAGGATCTAGAATTTATTCACTGATTTTTTTTCACTCATCTCTCTCTCTCTTCCATCCATCTCTTAATCCACTTATCTATTTGCTAGATACTGACTATGCATGACAGAGGGTCCTGAGAGAGAGGGTTTAAGATGGCAAATAAGACATTTGCCTGCCCGCACAGAACTCGTAGTGTGGTGGAAGGGAGTATTCTTTCCTGTGTGGTCAGTAGTGCTGGAGGAGCCGTGGAGATTTGAGGGTGTGATGAACACATAATATGGTGTTAGGAAGGATGGAGGAGACTTCCTGGAGAAGTGAAGGCTTGGCTGAGTCTCCAGGTGAGGGGAGGCGGCAGGTTGGGGAAGGGAGGCTCTCTCTATGTAGTGGATACATCACATCATAACTGCCAGCAATTGGCTGTGTGACATGGGGCAAGTCCTAGTTTGCTCCTTACCTCAGTTTCCCATTTATAAGATGAGAAAAGGCTGGAGGAATAACTCAGAGGTACGGCACTTGCACAGCATGTGCAAAGGCCCTGAATCTCCTTTCCCAGCTCCAAACAAAAAATGACAAATAAAAGATGGGGAGGTTGTGAACAACTTATTATACCTATTCCTAAAGTTCCCTCTTCTGTAGTTTGGTATTTTAGGAAATGGGACAGAAACCTTTTTCTGCCTGAGTCTAGGAAGCCACCATTTGTGCTATTGTGAACTGACTGTTGGGGACCCTGAATCCTTATCCCAGTTCTGGTGTGATGTTGGGCCCCCAAGCCCCCCATTCTGGGCCCCACAGGTCAGGGGACACGTGTGCCTCTTCTGCCCTCTCTTCCCACCTCTCCCATTGCAGATGCCAAGGGGCTGAGCGACCCGGGGAAGATCAAGAGGCTGCGGTCCCAGGTGCAGGTGAGCCTGGAGGACTACATCAATGACCGCCAGTATGACTCACGCGGCCGGTTCGGGGAGCTGCTGCTGCTGCTGCCTACGCTACAGAGTGTCACCTGGCAGATGATCGAGCAGATCCAGTTCATCAAGCTCTTTGGCATGGCCAAGATCGACAACCTGCTACAGGAGATGCTGCTGGGAGGTCTGTACCAGCCCAAGGGGCCCTGGGATGTGCTCTCCCCTGAGACAAGCCTCCCACAGACCTGAGCCCACCTCCCAGCCCCGTTAGCTCCTGGGTGTGTGGCTCTGGAAAGATGGCTGAGTCTGCCTGGGTGTCCATTTCCTCATCAGAAAAATTAGCTGGGGGATAGTGGCTGACAGCTGGAATCCTAGCTACTTGGGAGGCTGAGGTTGGGAGGATCGTGGTTCAAGATCAGACTGAGCAAATAGCTCTGAAGACCCCCATCTCCAAAATAACCAGAGCAAAATGAACTGGCGTGTGACTCAAGCAGTGGAGTGCCTACTTTGCAAGTATGAAGCCCTGAATTCAAATCACTAAAAAAATCCTCATCAGGAAAATGGGGACATTTTTTCATTTCTTTAGTGAGAGAGCCTAACATGTACCAGTCACTGTTCTAAATGCTGGGACTCGGAAAAGAACAAGATCTCTGTACCACTGGAGGGTGTGTTTGGTGTGTGTGTGTGTAAGCTTCATGGGAACAGGCAATAACCAAGTGAATAATAAAAAGATAATTATAGATTTGGCAATACACAGGTAATGCAATAAAATTTACCTGAAAAGAAGGGCCTGTTCAGATGGGTTGGCCAAGGGAGACCTCACTGAAGTGATGATTATGTGTGGTTAAGACCTGATGGGTAAAAGAAAATAGAAGTTTTAAAAGTGAAGAGGAAAAACGTTCCAAGCAAAAGAAACTAGTTCCAGGCCTGAAGGCATACTGAAAATCAAGGGCATCTGAGAACCAAGGGCAAGGTTGCGTGTGTGCGTGTGTGTGTGTGTGTGTGGTGGGGGCATTTGGAAGACAGGAAGATGGAGATTAGGAAGAAACCAAATCATAAACATAGGGCTTCGTAGGGCATGGCCAGAAATTTGGATTTTAGCTGGGTGTGGTGGCACATACCTGTAATCACAGCACTCAGGAGGCTGATGCAGGAGGATTGTGAGTTCAAGGTCAGCCTGGGCTACATAGTGAGACCCTGTCGCACTGCAGAAGAAGGAGAAGGAGGAGAAGAAGGAGGAGGAAGAGAAGGAGAAAAGGAAGAGCAAGAAAAGAATGAACTTTAGGCTAAGTGACATGCTCAAGTGGTAAAGTGTCTGCCTAGCAAGCCCTGAGTTCAAACCCCAGACTCACCAAAAAGGAAACAACTTTGGATCTTACTCTCTTTGCAACTATTGTAAGGAGACTGAAAATGAGACTAGTGTTTTAAACAAACTACTCTGATTGTTGGGTGGACAGGAATTTCAGGGGGGTGAAATGGAAACGAGAGACCCCTGGGAATGTTACCGTCCCAGTCACTGGAGGCTTGGGTCATGGAAACAGAGCAGCATTAGATAAACTTGACCATCTGTTGGAGGAAGGACCCTCAGGACTTGCTGATGGATCAGAGATGGGAAGTCAGGAGAAGAGAAAGGGTCAGGGAGAAGTCTGTGTTTTGTTCTAAGTGGCGTCAATGATGGTGAAGTCATTCAGTGAGAAGAGGAAGACTGAGAGGATCCTCGAGGCTGGGTCTGGGGTGGTGGTCAAGGTGACAGTGAGGCCAGGGGAGGGGAGCGGAGGAGGAGAGGGAGTTGTCCATTGGATGACAACGTGGAGGCTGTCAGCACTGTGTTGAGAGTAATGTCAGAGGATATGAAAACGTAAACCAGATTGGGACCGGTTACAGAGTGAGTAAGTAAGAAATTAAAGAATTGAAGACAGAGTGGACAAAGCTTTGAAAGTGTTTCGCTATGGCAGGTTGCTATGAGGGAGTCGAGGGTGGCTGCAAGGGTGTGATGATGATGGGCTAGGCATCTTGGCTGGACTAAAAGAAAAATAAAGATGAGATGATACACAGTGAAGAGTGGGGTCAGAGAGCTTTTGCAGGGGTGTTACTGGATGGAGAGCACTGGAAGGATGGGAGGCAAAATTGACATGATGGCGCTTGAACTGGAGGTTTTAGAGGTGACGGTGTGGCCGAAGGCAGAGGTTCTCACTCTCAGCACCACTGATATTTGGGACTGAGTGGCTCTTCTTTGTAGAGAGCTGAGCTGTCCTGTACATTGTTTAGCTACATCTCTGGTCCCTACCCATGACCTGTCAATAGTACTTCTCCAGTGGTGACAACCCAAAATGACTTCAGAAGTTGCCAAATGTTTCCAAAGAGGACAGTCGTCCCCAGCTGAGCACTGCCATCTCATTCTCACATCGACTCTGTGAATAGGGGTTGTTATGGATCAGGGGTCACTGAGATCCATGTCTGGAGTTTGTGGTCTGTTGCCATATAGACTTGGGTAAGAGCATCTCTCCGGATGGAGATAACAGAGGTAGAATGGGATAAGCAACCTCCCCTGTAGAATGGGACAGTAATAGTGTCCGCCCTCTAGGATTGTTGTGAAGAGAAAATTGTGTAAAACTTAGAAAGTGCTATAAACCAGTGTGTGGTATATGAGAAGAACTCAGTAATTGTTACCTACCACCTACAATCCCAGCACTCAGGAGGCTAAGGCAGGAGAATCTCCAGTTCCAGGCCAGATTAGAACATATCAAGACCCTGAAACAGAGATTCTTTAGAAGCAGATTGTAAGTCTTAAAATTCTATCATTGTCATATTAATAAATTACCCATGAACCACACCCTCTAAAGGATTATGACTTCCTGACCCATTTGTGAAGCACTTACTGTGTTCCACTTTGATAAGCCCTCAAAGAAAATAAAAGAGAAATACACCTGTAATTGTAATGTTCAGAGACAGAGAAGTGGTTGTTCCCAACAGTAGGTTACAGATAAATTACTGTGGGAATTCCAGTGAAGGAGAAGAAGGAGAGAAGGGAGCACTGGGAGAGGCTTCCAAAGGGAGGAAATATCTAAGCTAGGATTAGGACTAATGGACAAGGGAGAGTGAAGTGGGGTAGACAAGCCACCTGTGATGGAAGCAGCAGGGTGAGCAAAAGCACAGGGACAGTAAAATGCAGGGGACACATAGATGTTCCCTGGCTGAAGCGGGGATGTGGGGTAAGGCTTTTGAAAGGGGAGCTGGCACCCAGTGGCTGAAGGACTTGCATGTCAGGGCCTTTAAGAACTATTAACTCAGTCCTTAAAGCCTCTCAGAGCTCCCTACATGCTGCTTGTTTCTGTCAAGTCACTTTTGTTCTCTTGGTCATCTGAGTCCTCCAAATACCCTCATGAATCCTCTGGACAAGAACAGTGAGTCCTAGTTTACTAACCCACGAGCAGGTTCCCAACAGTCACTGCTGGTGCTGGATAGGCAGACTGATGGGTCACACTGGCGAGTGATGGTGCTTCAGGAACTATGGTCCTTACCCAGACTCTCCGTTCTGACTCCTCACCTCTCTCCTTGCAGGGTCCTCCAGTGAAGCGCCCCATGCACACCATCCCCTGCACCCTCATCTGATGCAGGAACACATGGGCACCAACGTCATTGTTGCCAACACGATGCCCGCTCACCTCAGCAATGGACAGATGTGTGAGTGGCCCCGACCCAGGGGGCAGGCAGGTGGGCAATGCGGGCTTTTAGAGCTCAAGGGGTGAGGATGGGGCCTAAGAAAGAAGCTGGAGGAGGCTGAGTCTAGAGAGGGAAACTCGGACACAGCAGTTTTCTATGTTTCAGGGTGGGGAAAGAGGGATGAGGTTGTCTATTAAGGCTGTTTATTTAGGGAGGCTGTTTATGCAATGAGGTGATTGACATCCTCTACTGAATGAAGTCCCTTTGGGATCAGACAATCCATTGGGTGAGAATTCTATCAGATGACATTGACCATTAAGTTAAAGTATTCATTGAAGTAAGCCTGCCCAAATGGGTAAAGGCTATCTATTAGACAATTAGAGGAAGCCAAGCATGGTGGCATATGCCTATAATTCCAGCACTAGGGAGGCTGAGGTAGGAGGATCACCAGTTTGAGACCAACCCAGACTACATAGTGAGTTCCAGGCCAACCTGGACTACACAAGTCCCTATCTCAAAAACAAACAAACAAAAAAACCAAAGGATGGGAATGTGTCTCAGTGATAGAGTACTTGTCTACTATGTGCAAGACCATGGGTTTGATCCCCAGCACTGAAAAAAAATAGAAAGAAAAAATAAACAATCAGAGAAACTATCCATTGAGTAGAGATGTCCACTGGTTTAGACCATTGTCTCAGGGGAAATCTCCAGAGAGTGAATGTGTCACAGGGCAAAACTCTTCAAAGAATAGAGTTCTCAATGGGATGAGGCAGTCCCCAGAGATGAAATGGCATTTCATTGAGATTTTCTTTGGGAAAGTTGTCCACTGAATTAAGTTAAGCTATTGTGTGAGAGTTACTCTCCCAACTTGTGGTGAAAGTGGGGCCAGTTAAGTTCTGTTCTTCATCTCAGTATCAAAGAAGTGATATTTTTGTGCCAGTTAGCCACAGGTCTCAACTACTGCTCCTTCTCCCAAGAAAGAGTATCCCTGTCACATATCTCACTTCTGTAGGGGACATTAAGACCTGGCCCCTGGTATGGGAGAAGTAGCCCAAGTCAGATGGTAGAGTCAATGGGTGATAGTAACTTCCAGACTTCATACAACTTAGATTTTATGATCTGGGACTTGTTGATGGGTTAAGCCATAAGAGACATAGGGTTATCAGATTAATTCTCTCATTTTATAAAAGAGAAAACTAAGTGTCAGAGAAAAGAAAAGCACTTCCCCAGGACTCTTCACTTATTCCCCCCAAAGGCTGGAATTTTGAGCAGCTTCTGTCTGTTTCTTTGTCCCTTCAGCAACCCCTGAGACTCCACAGCCCTCCCCCCCTGGTGGCTCAGGGTCTGAACCTTACAAGCTCCTGCCAGGAGCCATCGCCACGATCGTCAAGCCTCCCTCCGCCATCCCCCAGCCGACCATCACCAAGCAAGAAGTCATCTAGCAACCCGCTGGGGGTCGGGGGTTCTGCTGACTCAACCCAGCCCCTCAGAGAATGCCTGGGCATAACTTGACCACCACAACGGAAGGTGTGACACAGGGTCAGTCCCAGGGCAGCAGTGGAAAGGGTGCCTGGCCCCAGAACATGGGCTGATGGAGTGTCGCCTTGGGAGACCCCACTGGGAAGTGCTCCAGTGCCTTGGACCACTTTTATTTTGAAGTCACTGCCTTCACCTTCATATCTACCCCCCAACTCCTTCACCCCCAAAGGATGACTGTTTGAAGATAATATGGAACCTGTTTAACCACAGCTCCTTTCTCCCCTGGTGCTGGTCATGGGGTCTGGGCAAGAATCCCCAGTGCTGGCGTTAGCCTGAGGCATGGCACTCTCCCTCTTCTGCTGCCCCTCTCCCAGATGTCCCTCCCTACCCTCTGCTGTGACCTTCCTCAACCATCCTCACCTCTCTGGAGGCAGAAGAAGACTGTGCCACTGTTTTCCTGGTCATTCTGGGGACCTTCTATAGACCCTTACTGGGGCGAGGCAGAGGTTAGGACTCTCCATTTCTCCCCAACCAAGCCCAGCACACTCCCTTCCTCAGGCACTGGCACGCATCCTCAGGCAACAAGAGAACCCAAGGCCGACAACTGCCACAGGAACTTGGAGGGAAGGCAGGGTTACCCAGGAAAACATCTAGAAAGGGGCAGGCTCTGTACGAGGTCTCTGAGAAAGGGTAGAATTCTGGCTGGTAGAGCAGATGAGACAGGACAATCCAAAAGAGAGGAGGAAGAACGGTGGGGAGTAGTCAGAAAAGGACCTGCTGTGCGCTGGGCAGTCGGAAGACAAACTGAGCTTCCTACAAACGTGGGGAGGCTGGGAAAGACCAAGGAGGTCAGACTGGGCCAATGACGTGATGCTGGAGAGAATGCTGGAGCCTGGGAATGGGTGATCCTCAGGTTAGAGTGGTGTCAAGGAGGAGTCACCCCCCTCCGGATGATTCCTTACTCCCAGGCACTGTCATAAGGCATTTGACATCCATCATCTCATGGAATCCTCCCAACTTCCCAGAGATTGTTAGGGAAGATGAAATTGAGTTCTAAGAGATGAAGTGATCTTTTTTCTGAAACTCACACAGCTAGTCAGTGGGTCAGTCAGGATTTGAACCCAGGTATTCCTGGATCAGAGTAGGAGCTTTTAACAATCCAAAAAGACACCCCCCCACCCCCCGCCATCTTCACTGTGAACAAATTGAGAGACTTCTTGATCTTTCTCCAGCCACAAACCCAAAGGCTCTTTCTTTCCAGAAACCCTGCCTAGCCCCAGGACTAAATTCTACTGAGGGTCCAGAATCCTGTTTGCTGATAAATATGAAAGAGAACTCATGACTCCTGACCCATTTCCTCTCTTCAGTCCCCAAGTCTGGGAGAGGGACGGCAGGGATCTGGTTGCTGGGAAGCCAGTCAATCTGGCCTAATAGTATAGGGTGAGACAGTTTGGGTAAGGGGCAGGGAAGTGATAAGAAGGCCTGGTTTTGAGGCTTGTTCTAGGGAACATCATTCAAGGAACATTCTGGAAACACTAAACCCTGGGATGGAGCAGCCAGCACCTCAACCCTGCAGAATCTTGGTGGCTTTGGGAAGATTCTGGAAAATGCCACTGCCAGTGGGAATAAAAGTGATGTGCCCTGGGCCTGGAGGTATGATTAGGAGAGTGAACTGTCAGACTGACTACTTCCCTCCACCCCAGGTTGACCCTTCTGTGTGGATGGGAGGCAGCACCCCAGTGCCTGGAAGTTCCACCACTAATGGTAGCGCCTCTTTGCAAAAGAGGCGTCAGAGAAGTATGGGGCCATCTGTTAAACAGAATCTCCACACACCCAGAGCTGTCAGGATTGGCCTTCCCCACTCAACAAGCCAAGCCTGGGGTCCCAGGGGAAACTGCTCCACACTAAGAACTCTTAACCCTCCTCAGCCACCCTCACTCCAGTGTCCCCAGAAACCCCAGCCAGATGGCTCAGCGTGGTCTTCACGAGGCAGGGAAGCTGGACTCATTCTGGTCATTGTGGTCACACTCTGCTCCTCTGCCACCAGTGTTGCTGAGTCCTCCATGGTGGAGCAAAGTTGACAATGATATCCCATGGAATGGAGTGAGGTGATGGTGGCCTTCAAGATAGCAAACTTCCAGGGCAGGGGAGTCAGTCCTCTGTCCCAATCCTCTCTTTCTGAAGGAGAAACCCATTCCAGTTTATAACTTTATTGCAATGTAGGAAACACAAAATAAAGAAAAGTTTACTTTTCTGATTAAGCTAAGGATACTACATGGATTTTTTTTTTCTACCTGAGTTGTAGTCCTAAGACAAAAATCTGATGGACTAAATAAAATTTGGTGGGAGGCAAACGGGCACTATAATTCCTCCACCAAGATCCCTTCTTTCTTCGGGAAGTTCTCAGAAGCTTCCAGAATCTACAAGGCTCTCCAGAGAAGGCACACAGGGGATGGGGTGGAGAAGGAACTTGGAAATGGATACTCCTTGATTTCTTGGGATGAACAAGTCAATACCTTTGCCAGAGCACTCTGTGATCTGTCCCAGTTTAAGTGAATTGTGAAATTCATATCAAGCAATTCTGGAAGTGTGCTGGGTTCCATCAGACGAGTCTACATCTTTCTGTGGTTGTGGGAAGGTTCCACATTGGTCCTGAGCCCGCCCCCCCACTCTTTCTGGGGCACAAAATTTTTTAAAAAATTTCTTACTCTTATGTGTGTTAGCAAAAGTTTATAAAACAAAATAAATGGCGAATATGTTTTCTAACCCTTGTATGGGTGTCTTTTTGTTTTGAGGGATTTCTTTTTTTTTTTTTTTTTTGTCTTTTTTGGTGCCAGGATCGAACCTAGGATCTCATGCATGCTAGGCAAGCGCTCACCCACTAAGCTACATTCCAGCCCTGGGTGTCTTTTTGTTTTCAGGAACTAGAATTGGGGTAGTTTCAGAGGTCTTTGCAGTGTACAAAATGCTTTCATATTCATTATGATTTTTTAATCTTCACCTCAAGAGATAAGCAGGTTAATTATGATTACATCTGCCTGTGTAGACAAGGAAACTGAAGCTCAGGGAAGTGATTTCCTTGACAAGCAGAGATGGAAATCAAACCTAGGCTCTTGACTCCAAGTATTTCCTATGTAGTACATGGAGAATGGCCCAAAAGAAGAGGGGAGGGATGAAGGAAAGAGTAATGGAAAGATCTGGAAGAATGGCAAGAGGGGTCAAGGGTCAGTCATCTGCCATCAGGGTCCAAGATGGAGCCCTTTTTTTGGGTCACCTCAGCCTGCCAGTCCCAGGAAATTCAGACAGGAAAATTTCATAAAAGCAAGCGCTGTTTTGAAAAAGGAAAGTGAAGGCTGCACCCAAGTCTTTCCAGTCAGGTCTATGGCCACATTGGTCCTTTCCCCTCAGGTAAGTGGCCTGGGTCTTGACCACCACAGACCACACTTTCACGTGGGATGTGGGGGAGCCTGTCCATGAGATCCAGTGTTAACTTCTCTTCCCAACTCCATGGTCAGCGATGTCATGCTGATTACTTGCAGTAGGCCACAGTGGGAGCATTCATACCACAACAAATGGCAAATGACACAAATCAAGACTGGTTTACCTGGAAAGCGTGTTGTTTCAGCACACTGTGGCATCCAGTGATGACTGGAGGAGGAGGGTAGACTGGGGTAATCCTTAGCCCTTCCCAAAGGGAGGAGACACCATTGTGGTTTGAGAATCACACATGTTGGTAATCACAGTGACCGTGCATAGGTCACTCCACCTCTCCGATCCCCAGCTGTCAAATGGAAATGGTGTCTCCTATGAGGGGTATTTCTGGTACTCATACCCTAGGTGATTCCAGAAGTGGGCTGGGTCCCATCAGACCAACCTGCATCTTCCTGTGTTGTATGGCTGGCATTAGGTCCCACATTGACTCCTGAGTCCCCCGTCACTGCTGCCTAAAGGGGTACAAAGGCAAACAACATTTCTTACTCTTGTGTTTTAGCAAAAGTTTATAAAACAAAATAAATGGAACATATGTTTTCTAAGCTCTTGCATGGGCGACTTTTTTTTTTCAGGTGTTAGAAATGAGGATAGTCTCAGAGGTCATTACACTGTACAAAATGCTTTCAGAAAAAGTCAAGTCGGAGCTACTGTAACATGAAGTACAATGCTTTCTGGCGAGAGGCTAACCATTGAGCTATCTGGCCTCAAGAGCACCATTAGCTCTGCCTTCCTGATCCCTGGGCCTCTCCCACCCTCCCCATCCCTTCCTCCCACCGTGAACACCAGGAAATGTTTTCGATAACGTTGCAATGGAGGCCCCGACCAAGCTCCCGCCCCATGGCCATGGGGGTGGGGGCCAAGGGAGGCTATTTCAGTCCTAAATTATGCTTAATAAATCCATATCAAAACCATAAACTCTGGGCAGCCATAAATTCCCCCGACCTTGGCTCCTCCACCTCACCAGCCCTTTGCCCCAGTTGATCTGAAATCTCTGTGTCTGTGGCCTGAGCGTTACATTTGGTTTCTATTTTAGTTGCTAAACAACACCCTCTTAGGTGACAAACAACATCCCCATTGCAGAGGTGATGAAGCCAAGGCTCAGAAAGGCAAGGGAACTCGCTCAAAACCACACAGCCAGCGAGACATGGGCCAGGGCCTGAGCCACGCTTCTGCTACCAACTCACATGGGCTGGTTAGGACTTGGAGCTTCTGGGATGACTTTTCCTTTACTCCCTCTTCAAAGATTCACAGATTCCTGAAACCTGCTTCTAGACACTTCTTACCCCCAGTACAGCCCCCGTGCTCAGACTGGGGACCACAAGTGGAAGGAATCCCAGGCTGCCCGAAGGGCTCTGTGATATGAATGACCCATCAGCCCAATGGTGAGGGCACCCTACTTCCCCATTTGTAGAACCCAGATCACTTTTGATAGACACTTCTCAAATCAGCATGTCACCTTAAATCCCAAGCCATACTCTAAGAGACCTGACTCCCAGGATCCCATGTGGCTGTTTGATGATGGCAGAGCTAAAAAGCTGAATCATGGTGGCAAGGACAACGTTTATGGAGCTCTTCCTCTCTGCCAAACATTGCTGCACATAACGTAATCCCACAACAACTCTGAGTCAGTTAC